CCCCCCCTTTCCCTGTCGTCAGGTAAAGACTCCGCCTCCTTCTTTGAAGGTCACCTGCTAAAAGTTCTCTTTGACCGTCTGGGACGCCTCCTGGAGCAGGTACACAGACACACACCTGTGCCCTACGTGGTTCCCCCTGGCTCACCTGTGCAGGTGATGACGATGATGTCGTGTGTTTGCAGCCGTACGAGTTGAACCTGCAGCTGACGGCTGTTCTCTCCAGGCTGTCGGCGTTCAGCCACCCTCTGCTGCACGAATACCTGCTCAACCCCTACATACACCTGTCTCAGTCCTCCAGGTCACTCTTCTCTGTCCTCATCAGGGTGAGACACGTTCTCCAGAGGAGGGCGGGGCCATGCATTTGTTTTTAAGTTAGGGCATGTCTGTTTTATCACCTGTGTGTGTGCCAGGTGATGGGAGAGCTGATGCAGAGGATCCAGCAGGTCTCTAACCTGAGCGAGCGACTGCTGAACACCAGGAGAGCGCTGCTGGGCCTGCCGCACGACCCCGGGTAACTACCTGCTGTAACACCTCACTCCAGCCACGCCTGGCGCCGTAAACACACTTACCAGGGCTGCAGCGACTCATCGAGTGACTCGATTATAAAATGTCTCTGCACAAATTCTTCTTTGATGCTTGTTTAATGTGTTAATGACGGAAACACGAGCGTTTCGAGTGAAAGCTGCTGCAGTAGAAACGAGGCGGGAAGAGCATAGAGGCGGAGCCGTTAGGGAGACGGTAGCGTGACAGGAAACATGGTGTCCACCATTAGAACCTTGACTGGGAAAGAGCTGCAGGAGTCGGAGCCTCAACAAACCGTGATGTGAAGTAGGCTCCACCCACCGCCGCTTGTGTCATACACACACACACACAGCTCTCCAGATAATCTGAGGCATGTTTTAACCCCACAGTTCGCTCCAGGCTGACGGCAGCCGTCACGTTTTACATGGAAGTGTACAGGCGTGAGTCTAGAGGGGGGCGCGAGGAGCCCTAGATTTATTACAAGGCTTTGAAATGATATAAAAACTGTTTCAAGTGCTTACAAATAAGAAGTTTTCTCTCTTTGTGTGTTTATTATCGCTCATTAATAAGACAAAAATGTTCTTACTCGATTACTCGGTGATCAGTAGCTGCAGCCCTGTGCAGTCTGCTGTCGTACTCCAGACTCCACCTGTACTGAACTCAGCTGTTTTGACTGTGAGCGCTGCTGGTCCTGTGTTCACCCGAGTTCTCCTGTGGGTGTGTCCACAGACTGGATCACCTGACCCTGCTCAAAGGAGTCATCGTCCTCGAGGAGTTCTGCAAGGAGCTTGCTGCCATCGCCTTCGTCAAGCTGCCCCAGGACCAGGACTGAGTCACCTGGAACTTTGGATTACAGATCAACATGTAAACATTGGCTCACCTGCTGCAGGTGCACCTGGGAGGAAGAAGCAGATTCAGAGTCTTCAAGTGTTTTTTTGTTTTTTTTTAAGTTCTTCTTGTATAGCGAAAAGCTGGCCGATGTCTTGGTGCCGTTTCTGAGGCGACCTGAACACCTCGGCGTCACTCTGCGTTTGATTGGTCAGCACGTTTATTTATGGTTTTAGTCTTTAGCTGATTTTAAACAAACAGGAAGTGGTGTCAGAGTCCAGTTTTGAATGTGTCACATGTCAGTGAGACGTTCCCATTGGACGATCACATGGAGTGATGTCAGCACGTTACACTTAGAAACTGCGATTAAACACACTGTCAAAGCGAGCAATGCCTGTCATGTGACATGTCAGTGAATCTCATTGACTGTGTGGGCGCGGTTTGATGAATGGAGCCAGGGTTAATGAGCCGTCTGATTGGCTGAACACGCATTTAAATACAGAGAAACCCTCATGGGGCCGAGTCCTCATTCATCATTAGCCCCGCCCTAAATGTTGTCAATCACCGTGCAACCATGTTGCTTAGTTTCTGGTGAAAGAGAGCAACTGTTTATCAGCTTCACTGGATGAAACTTTACTGCCTGATGGACTTCCTGCTGCTTTCACATGGCGAGTGTCACATCGAAGTCACTCCTCCCTTTGGCAGGAACACCTGTCCACATACTTTTGGTCCACTGAGCAAACAGTATGAAAAAGCTTTGTATAATTGATGATGATGATGAAGAGTTTCATGTGTGAGACAATAAAAGTGCTGACAGCCGTCTGTCGTGGTGTCCTTGAAAGTTTCACCAAAGAAAGTGTGTGTGTGTGTGTGTGTGTGTGTGTGTGTGTGTGTGTGTGTGTGTGTGTGTGTGTGTGTGTGTGTGTGTGTGTGTGTGTGTCACTGATC